TAGTGGCGAAATACCTCGATAGCATCGTTAATGTGGTCTGTAGGATCTGTAGACGTTGCTATCCTTATCAGTTACCCACTGGCGTACAGCTTGACATCAGCGTGGCGCTGATTGGCTAATCGCTAGACCCCCAGCTTTCATTGGTCCGTCCATCGTTTGGACGAGATAAATCGCAAATTCATTGAAGTATGCCAGACCAGAGATGCAAGCCTACTCAGTTGAGTGGGCGGGGTCTATGGTCTGGAACCAGGCTACTCCCATGTATGGGCGTTATGGAACCGAGCCTGACCAGCAGCAAAACACCACACGCCATAAAGGACAGCAAAATTAAATAAATTATGTAATTTACCAAAGTTTAAGCATCTTTTGTGCGTTTCACCGCAGGCGTAAGAGAGACAGACAGCGGTCTGTCACACTCACCATGTTACTGCAAGTACACCAAATGCCCCAAAAGCAAAGACTCAATAAGAGTAGGCTGATGTAGTAATGTAACCTATGCAAAAGATGCAAAGATGATGAAAATAAACACTCAACTGAATACAGACCATTCAGGTAACAGAGGCTGCACCGAAGCAACAAACACTGGAGAATACTCTCTTAAAAGAAGAGAGGAAATCCCTCCAGACAGCGACAAAGCCAGAAAGATTAAAGGGACGGTTTGTTATTTTATATGCTGTTGTTTTGTAAAAAGAAAAAGTAAGAAACATTAAGGAACAGCTTAGATGCATGTTTTTTTTGTCTTGATGCACTGCAGCTATTCAGTCGTACATATACACTGGATTGAGTATAATAACTTTAAAGTACTTGACGTGTGCACTGTGCAGCTGTTTCATTGAGGAAAATAGAGGTATTGCATCAGGACTCAGCAGATACTCAGTATGAACTGACTTGTATCGGGGGCGAAAACACTTGATCAGGACATCCCTGGCTGAAAATATATAGTGTCTTCGTGCATATATGATGCTGGCTGTGCTGTACCTGAATCTCCTCAATGCTGTGGACAATGAACATGTCCTGCAGGTCCTCCATGGCTCCATCCATCCAGTTGTTGAAGGGCGCTGCCCTCTTGGCAAACTCCAGGTACAGCTGGTCAATAGTCTCCCACAGTTTCTCCACACGCTGCAGACACACAGTCAAGACTTGTGTTACAAGAACCATAATGTGGACAGAGGCACTGCTTGTTATGAAAATTAAATGAGATGATTAACTTACTTAAAAACAAATTTTGGAATTTGTAGAACCCATTTACTACTGTCACCTTAATTACCTCGCTGCCATAATGTTGTGTTTGTATTGTGAGTGTTTCACAGGGTGTACCTCCAGTGCGTCCCTCCTCTTCTGGGTGAGGGTGCCCAGGTTGTCCCACTGGTCACAGATGCCCTGGCAGCGGGCGTTGACTGAGGCAGCATCATGGTAGTCCAGCTCACTGGAGGAGACGACACAAGAGTCAAACCACAGCTGCATTAAACCTCTGTACTCATAAAAATGTGTGTCATACAGACTGGCAAATGTATATTATGGCTTCATTGTGCAATTTATATTTATCTTTTATTACATGTATATTATGGCTTTTTAATGACATTTTTCTGATTGTTTAACCACATACTACGACTATGAGTTTTTTATTACATACTAAGCTGTGGCTTCATGTGGAGATGTATGTATGTATGTATATATAAAAGGTTGGCTTGACATCACTGGCAGCTAGAAGACATCTACACACCAGGATACCGAACATCCTCAGTTGTGTACCAAAATCATCGACATGGAACCAGATCACAGGAGAGACTGGTTTTAAAAGTCCGTCACACTAACACTGAGCTGGGGAAGACTGGTTTATGGTATTATGCACCTCATTACTGGAATCAACTGCAGAGCAGTTTGAACTTAGAAACACTCATTATTATTTTACTACAAACTATGACTGAACATTTTACAATATTTACATACTATACTCTGGTTTTTTATCAAATTTCACAATTCTTTACATACTATGACTTCCTTTTTTTTCTTTTTTAACAATTATTTACATACTAAACTATGGATTTTTATAATATTTTTAATTATTTACATACTATACTATGGATTTTTATATTTTTTCAAAAATATTTACATACTATACTATGGATTTTTATATTTTTTCAAAAATATTGACATACTATAATATGGATTTTTATAATTTTTCAAAAATATTTACATACTAAACTATGGATTTTTATAATATTTTTAATTATTTACATACTATACTATGGATTTTTATAATTTTTCAAAAATATTTACATACTATACTATGGATTTTTATCTTTTAAAAAAATATTTACATACTATACTATGGATTTTTATAATTTTTTAAATTATTTACATACCATACTATGGATTTTATCTTTTAAAAAATATTTACATACTGTACTATGGATTTTTTTTTAAATAATTTTCTAAAAAAGTATTTACATACTATACAATGGATTTTTATCTTTTTTTATTATTCACATAGTATACTATGGATTTTTATCCTTTTTTTGTAATTAAATTATTTACATACTATACTATGGATTCATTAATTTTTAATTACAATTACATTTTTTTTTAAATTCATATGATTTTTTTTATTACATACTTTTTGGCACATTTTTATGATTTGTCAATCAATCAATCAATTTTATTTATAAAGCCCAATATCACAAATCACAATTTGCCACACAGGGCTTTACAGCATACGACATCCCTCTGTCCTGTGTTGGGAGAGAATAATTATGAGCACATCACATAGGTGTAAGTCTTTCAAACGAGCATACATTAAGGAGACACCTGCTCACAAACTTTTGACCGTACAAAAATCCAAGTAGGATCAAAATGATGTCTTTACTAAACCTCTGTAGCATGGAGTAAGTGTGCAGGCGTTAATTCTCCTAAGAAAATATCACACCATCAATAAACGGTAAACTCAGCACATTTATTCTTTAAACTTTTATCTGCAGTGAGACTACTTTTAAATATGTAAAAATGGGGACAGGTAATTGAAAATATCAAAGCTCGGGAAACTGACCTTCTGTGTGGCATTTTGTAAAGATGCAAAACACCTGCCACCTTTTAAAGGCCCTCTGACAAACTATTACATTCCCCAAAGTTCAACTCACATGCTCCCCCAAATATTAGGAGTGCTTAATGCCATTACATGAGCTATCCCATCCTGCTCTGAGGGGTCATCTGAGAACATTTTGCTTTTGAGTGTATATCTGCGTTAAAAGTAATGAATGAGAAGTTATGTGTGGCATGCATACATATTCAGCATTATGGTGTACATAGCATCAAAGAGGTGGTATCAGAACTATCTGTGGAAAAGGCCCAGAGGAGTGGTGAGGAATAACGAAACAGTGAGATCAGAGGTTTCTGCTCTTTCATGACTCATCCTTTCATCTTTTTATCCCTCTCATTAACATGCTCTCCACTCATTCCCACTTTTGTTCTTGGCTGTATTCACATCCTCGTCTCCTCTCAACATATCTCTCCGATCGCGACAATTAAGAGTCCCGGAACACTTCATTCTCTCCTCTCCTATCCCTGCTACAAGCGCCATATAAGCCCTCAATCTAATCATCTCAATTCTCATTCCTCACTCCCTCCTGTTTCTCCTCCTCCTCACAGTTTCTCCCCATTGTGTCCTTAAAAGCCCCCCAAGACACACACACACCTCTGTTAAACTGCTATGATACTAAATTAAAGCACCCAAAACATGAACAAGAATTGTATGTCTCTGTGTGTCTCTGTCCAAGCTTCTTACTTCAGCTCCTGGGCGATGGCAGCGATCTGCTCCACTCTGTCCTGATGAGCGGCAAGGTCGCTCTCGAATGCCTCGTGCTTCCTCATCAGGGCTCTGATCTCCATCAGAGATGCCGACTCGTAGTCCTTCTGGGACAGCAGGTCCTCCTTACCTGAAACACACAGATGTTTAACGTGTGTTTTATTACCTCAGCTTCACAGACCAAAACTACAAGCTCTTATATTTATACAAAGAAAAAATATGGTGATACGTTAACATGTGTAAATGATGCACCTGTCCTGCTGTTGCATATAAGTCTCATTAAAGTTCATTCTCTGATCTGTTTTCTTCACTCTACTGCACTCAGCCATTTCCTTTGACTCACTGTAGCATTTTGTTATTCACATGTATGCCTACAGATAGTTTTATCACACTTTTATCTCATGACAAACTATACTGACTTTTTATGCTGTTTTGAACGACATGCTATACTATGACATTTTGATG